AGTCAGACCAACTTGGATGAACAGGGAAAAGAGCATTCAGTGAGGCAAACAGCAAGTGCAAAGGTCCTGAGGTGCAGGAGACTTTTGCCTGCAGGGTGGCCAGCAGGCCTGCACAACTGGAGCAGAGTGAGTGGTAGAGGGGCAGAAGGAGGCAAAGAGGCATCTGGAGGGCTTAGTGTGTTGAGTCTTGTGGACCAGCGTGGTATTTGGCATTCACTTGGAATATGGTGAGACATTTTGGGGTAAGATGTCTTTGAAAGGCTTTGAGCAAAGGAGTAACAGAAACTGACTTCAAATATAGAAAACATACCTCTGGCCGCTGTGTGGAGAATAGATCATCGGTGCCAGGTGGGAGATCAAGGACAACAGGGACCTGGCTCCAGTGAGAGGGGCTGTGGTAGTGCCCCAGATGTATTTATATGGCACTGTAGGTGGAGCATGTGGAGGGGCGGTCAGGAGAGCCTGGGCTCTTGGCCTAAGCAGCCAAGGTGGAGGTTCCCCGGGCTGTGGAGGCAGCAGCGGGCCTATGACTTTGGAACTGTGGCAAGACAGTGCATTGTGGTGGTGTGTGGCAGGGGAAGCTGCTCACCTCAGGGCCATGGGGACAAGAGGAGAGAGAGGACGGGGCCAGCTTCCCAATGTCCCTTTCGAGGGCATGCCCACACTGACCTAACTCTTTCCCCCAGGTCCCACCTCCTGAAGGTTCCCTACCTCCCAATAGTACCATCAGCTGGGGACCACATCTTCTACACAGGAGCCTTTGGGGCACTGAGGGTCCAAACCATAACAATCATAAAGATTCATTCCTGTACCAAGGATTGGACGCAGGGTACATCCCCTGTACTTATTTTTATTTTGAGACAGGGTCTCACTAAGTTGCTGAGGCTAGCCTGGTTGTTGTTTTTTTTTTTTTTTTTTGGGGGGTGGGGTACCAGGGGTTGAGCTCAGGTCACTTGACCACTCAGCCACATCCCCAGCCCTATTTTGTATTTTATTTAGAGACAGGGTCTCAAAACTGAGTTGCTTAGTGCCTCACTTTTGCTGAGGCTGGCTTTGATCCTCTTGTGTCAGCCTCCAGATCTGGATCTGCCTATCTGTGGGATTACAGGCATGGGCCACCACCCCTGACCTGGCCTTGAACTTTTTTTTTTTTTTAGAAAGAATTTTTTTATATTTATTTTTTAGTTTTTGGCGGACACAACATCTTTATTTTTATGTGGTACTGAGGATCGAACCCAGCGCCCGGTGCACGCCAGGCGAGCATGTTACTGCTTGAGCCACATCCCCAGCCCTGGCCTTGAACTTTTGATCCTCCTGCTTCAGCCTCCCAAATTTATGGGATTATAGGTATGGCTACCATGCCTTACTACAATTTGTATTGATCTTGTACGCTGAAACTTGTTTATTAGTTCTAACATTTTTTTTTAAAGTAGATTCCTTCAGATTTTCTATACATTGGGATGTTTTTGCTTCTTCCTTTGTGCTCTGGATGCCTTTTCTTCCTCTTGCCTATTGCCCAGGAATGGACCTTCAAAACAGTATTGAGGGGCTGGGGCTGTGACTCAGAGGTAGTGCACTTACTTGGCATGTGTGAGGCACAGGGTTCCATTCTCAGCACATAAATAAATAAAATAAAGGTCCATCAACAATTACACACACACAAAAAAAACACATATTGAGTAGAAGTGTTAAGACCAAGTTGGAGTTGGGCAGGTGRGGTGGGGGGGTACAGCCTGTAGTCCCAGTGACTTGGGAGGCTAACAGAGTGATGGCAAGTTCAAAACCAAACTCAGCAACTTAGTGAGATTCTGTCTCAAAATAAAAAAGGACTGGGGATGTATCTCGGTGCTAAAGAGCCCCAGGTGTTCAATTCCCAGCACCAAAAAAAAAAAAAAAAAAAATTGTAAAAGATATAAATACTGGGGAGACTATCCCAGAAATATACCCTAGAGCTTTTTAGGAGAATGAAGACAAGAAGTGGGGCTGGGGTTGGGGCTCAGTGGTAAAGCGCTTGCCTAGCACATGTGAGGCACTGGGTTTGATCCTTAGCACCAGATAAAAATAAATAAATAAGGACTGGGGTTGTGGCTCAGTGGTAGAGTACTCACCTAGCCTGCACGAGGCACTGGGTTCAATCCTCAGCATCACATGAATATAAAATAAAGATATTGTGTTCATCTAAAACTTAATAAATATTAAAAACAATAATAATAAATAAAAATAAAGTGTTGTGTCCATCTACAACTAACTAAATATATACATATATATTTAGATTACATATATGTATATAGTATACATATATATTAATATATATTAAAATGTTGAATACATATATATTTTTTTTTTAAAAAGGAATAAAGACAAGAAGTAAAGCTTTCAGATCCTGGCCTGGTGGCACATCCTGTTATCCTAACAACTTGGAAAGCTGAGGCAGGAAGATTGCAAGTTCATGGCTACCCTTAGCAACTTAGCAAAACCCTGTCTCAAGATAAAAAAAGGCTGGGGATGTGGCTCAGGAGTAGAGTGCCCTAGGTCCAATCCCCAGTGACAAAATAAAAAATAAAATAAGCTGTTGGCCCAAAGGCACAGTTGGCCAGCGGTGCTTCAAGGACAGTGGAAAGTGCCCAAGGGGACTGCCATATACTGGCCTTCTAAGGGGGAGAGACTCAGGAGACCAACCTCAAACTCAAAGGGCTTGAGTCTCAATAACTTTTTTGTAATTGTCCCAAATTCCATCGAGAAGAGGAGAGGGAGAATCAGCATCTTCTGCTAGAGGCCTTCAAGTTCATGACAAGAGCCTGGCCAGCCCATAATGAGGATAGGTCAGAAAAGGCTCTGGAAGAGCCTGCCCTCCTCAGCCCCAAAGGAAGGCAGGTCCTTGTGCTGAGGCGTGGAAAACAGCAAGTGCTTTGGGACGGCTCGGCTGGGCAGCAAAGGCCCCTTCTGTAGGCGGCCCAGCAGCACCAGTGGGAGGCTCCATAATGAGGCTTGGATTCCCAGCCAGGGAGGGACTCAGCTGGCAGCGTGGGAGGGTGGGACTCTGGAAGGCTTTTGTTTCAGGTGTCTCGTTAAATAGTCATCAGGTCCCCATGTGACCTTGAGAAGGCTACTTCTTTCCCACTCTTGGGGGACAGGCAGGTTCCCTGGCAGGCTGGGGCTGCAAGGCCCTGGCCCCTGGGTGGCCATTCCCTTTGCTGACACAGTTCCCTCCTGGGGTGCCAGTGCTATTTTGTGCCTCAGCACACTGCAGAGACCCACAGTCCCGCGAGAAAGCCTGTGAGAAAGCCCGGTAGGCGGGAGGAAGGAAGCGAGTGGGCTGCCGCCTCTCATTGCCACCAGGGCGTCTTGACACCTCCCTTGTCACAGTTTCGTGGCAACCCCTCCTGCTTAGGGAGGAGGGGGGCAGCACTCTGAGAAGTCAGCCTCTGTTAGGTAACCAGCGCAGTGGCCACGCAGGTATGATGTAATTGTGGAGTCCCTGTAGCTAGGAGTAGCTAGGACAATTCTGCCTGCGGTGGTGCTGCGAGTCCCAGGCCTGGTGAGAACGGAATGTTCCCTAGAAGAGGGGCAGGACTGTGGGGCTTCTCGAGCAAAGGAGCCCCGTATCCAAACAGGCCCTTGATGACTTGAGCTCCTTTCTAGAAGCTTATTTTTATTTTCAGGAATAGAGGTTGTGCTGGCTAAGGACACAACCCCAGGAAGGTGAGTGGGTGGGTGGCAGTGTATTTCCGTTAGCACCACCTTGGCTCCTGGTGAGAATGAAGGCACATCTTTGTGATGTCATTGCATTAGGCCCTCCTTCTGCAGCACTGCCCCAATGCTGGCTGCCTCCTCCCCTCCTGTGGCAGGGATGTCAGGAGGGGACCCCCTCCATGGGGTGGACCAGGATGGCCAACACTGTGCCAACTCTGGTCCCTGTGCCAGAGGCCTTGCTGTGCACCTCCCATACCAGCTCACCCTTGGGTGGCCTTTTGGGTCCCTGACTTTCCGATCCGCCCCGTCTGGGGAGAATTTCTTTGGTAACACAGGCGAAAAGTATGTCAGAACAGCCCTGGGCAGCCCGACTGTCAGTGTTCGGGCACAACACAGAACCACCCTTTATAAAAGGGGGAGAGAGCAGGGGGACCCTGGGACAGGGAGGAACCTATGAATCACCTCACTTTTTGATGGGTGGGGGAGCAGGGTAGCATTCCAAGCTCTTTGCCCCCTCCCTGCCTTTCTGGCCGCCTGTCAGAGCCTGTCTTTTTTTTTTTTTTTTAAAGAGAGAGAGAGAGAGAGAGAGAATTTTTAATATTTATTTTTTAGTTCTCGGCAAACACATCTTTGTTGGTATGTGGTGCTGAGGATCGAACCCGGGCCGCACGCATGTCAGGCRAGCGCGCTACCGCTTGAGCCACATCCCCAGCCCAGAGCCTGTCTTATAACAAGACAAAGGAATGATTTCATGAGTATCTGGACCCGAATCTCAAAATCAGGATTAAGAAAAATAACAAGGCTTGTGGGCATTATATATCTTGTCCAGCCAGACAAACAACAGGCTGAGAAGGGCTGGCCAAGCTCTTTTGAGCAGGTGTCGGGTTTGGGCAAAGGATAAGCTCTTGCAAAGAAGGGAGGCTGTTCAAATCATAATGGGCAAGATCCTCCAACGCGATCAGGACCTGAGGCTAGAGAATAAAGAGGGGAACTCCCAAGTGGCCCCCCAACTTTGGTTACCTTGGAGCAAGGGGTGTGAGACCTGGGTCCTGGTCATGGCTCACCTCTTAGCGGTAGAACCTTGAGTGAGCCTCTGAGCTCACTCCTGCATCCCTGCAGCAGGGTTGCTGGCTCCGTCTGCTGGCCAGGCTGCAGGGCAGACCAGAGGTAAGCACTTTGTATTCAGCAGGTGCCACAGTACTGGAGGCAGGGGGACTGGGGCGGGTGGTTCCCGCAGCCTTCCTGCCTTGTCCTGCTTGCAGCCAACACTAGAAGCCTATCAGCAGTTCTTGTCCCCTGGTCTGTAGGTGCCGAGGATGTGGTGATGGCGTTTTCCAGGTCGGAGACGGAGGACCGGAGGCAATAGCTGTAAACTCCTTGGAACACCCTGGAAGCTGTCAAGGGCCAAGAGATCTGTGTGGCTCCTGGGCTGGCTGAGTGGCAGCAGACCACCATCCCTCCCTCCCCCTACTCCTACCCCTCAGCCCCCCAACAGCCATTGCCACAGCCGCTCAGCAGGGCTGGCATCAAGGGAGACACCAGTGGTGCGTTTTCGATTGGCTTAAAGGGATGGACTCGTGATTGGCTTCAGGAAGAAACCTTTTTATTTTTAAACCTTGACCAATGGAAACCTTTTATTTTTATTTCTGACTCTTATTTTTTAAAAAATTTGCGCCTCGGTATCAGGCTTCCCAGGAAGCTCTCCGGGCTCTGGTGCTTTATTTAGGTCATATTTTAGAAATGTGAAGAGGCCCAATTGGCTGCTTAAACTGGAAAAGGATTATGATTGGCTGACAGTGGGAAATGGTCTTTTCTTTGATTGGCTGCAGGTGTCCTGCTGGTATCAACAGCTTCTTTATTCTCAATGCAGAAAACAGGGTTTGGGACATTGGTTGTTATATTTGACTTGAAAAAAAAAAAAGAAAGAAAGAAACCAAATGCGCTTTGCAATGTTTATTACACAAACAGCTTGCTGCTGCTCTCATATTTGGTGTTTGTATTTGAATTAGATTGACTTGCCCATGACTCCTGTTGCCATAGAGGGGGCTGGAGTCCACCTTAGATTACATTTGCTTTAATGACCACCTGCCTCTACTAGCACAGGGATCCTCAGGACCCCGAGCAGGATCCACAGCGGAAAACAGGGCCCCCAAGGAGCTTGGTGTTGTTCTGTTCCAGCAACCCAGAACCTGGGTGAATAGGAGGCAGGACTTATAAGCRTTACTTACATGAGTTGGAACAAGCCAGTTTCCCTCAGTGGGAATGGTCTCACATGCTGTGCAGGAAATGTCTCAGTGATAGCACACTTGCCTGGCACAGGTGAGGCCCTGGGTTCAATTCTCAGTACTGTAAGGAAAAAAGGAAGGAAGGAAGGAAGGGAGGGAGGGAGGGAGGGAGGAAGGAAGGAAGGAAGGAAGGAAGGAAGGAAAGAAAAAAAGAAATCTGGCCAGCCTCTCCTGGCCAGCCATGCTAAGCAGAAGAGCACTGGGCTAGGCAACTCACCCACCTGCCATCCCTACATGTCCCCCTTCTCGAGGCCTTATCTTGGGCCTTCTCCCAGAAAGGAAAGGTAATATTCTCAGCTGTGAGACTCCATAGGTCTTTTAGCTGGGGTCTCTTCCCAGGAGCCCAGAACACAGAGGACAGCCCCAGGTTGGCTCCCAAGGCCTCGGAGGACACRCTTGTGCCATCTTTCCCTTCCCAGGGCATGGGGCACTGTGTATCATGGAGCATGCACCAACCCGTCCCTGGCTGACGCTGGGCAGCGGTGTCTACAGTGTCGCACACACTCACACCATCACGCTTGTTCTGCGAGGATTTGAGTGTTACCGGTAAGACCCCTGTCCTCCTGCGAGTCCACAGACCCCACAGGATGAGGACAGTGGGGAATACAGATGTAGCTGCAGCAGTCCCAGCAAGGGCCTGAGGGTGTCTGCCCTCAGGAGGAGCAGTGTGCGAGAGCACGGGCACTCTTGTGCACACGCTCATTCACACACTTCCAGCTCACTGGCCTGGAGCTCTAGCTGTGCCACTGGGGAAAGGGCTTCTTCAGTCCCTACCTCACCCCAGGTTTTAGCATGTGGAATCGGGTGTTGCCAGCTGCCCCTCTCAGCTCCCATCCAGGGCCAGAGCTCTCTGCTCCACCCTGTCCTTGTCATAATCGCAGCTCACTCTTTTTTGTTGATGTTGTTGTTTGGCTGGGGTGCCTAACCACTGAGCCACATCCCCAGTCTTTTTTATTTTTTGTTTTTTAAATTTTATTATTTAAGTTGCTTTGGGCCTCTCTAAGTTGCTGAGGCTGGCCCCAAACTTGCAATCCTCCTGCCTCAGCCTTCCAAGAGGCTGGGATTACAAGTGTGCATCACTTTACATGGTTCAGTTCTCACTCTTATAACAGTAACAACCCTGGCCTGGCTCATCTTCTGAAGAAGAAAAGTCCTAGTGTTGCTGTGACTTCATATTTCAACTAAAAAATATATCTGTTAGAGAAAAAATAACAGTAAAGATCTTTCATAGCTTGGAGAATTAGCTGCCATTTCTCCCTCTGAATCCTTGCTTTGATGGGTTCCACTGGGCCTCCTCCAGGGAGGCACAGGGAGGGATAACAGCAACACCACGAGTTGGATGACTCTGTGGCCTGGATGGGAGGTCAAGGTGTGCAGAGATTTCCAGGTCAGCCCAGCCCAACCTGAGCCTCAGGAAGGGTGAGCCCCAGAGACTGGAGATTCTGGGTATCTTCCTGATCAGACCCAAGTCAGTGATCTTTGGGGTCACCTTGCCATTTCATGCTTTGAACAGACCCTAAGCATGCCATCAAGGTGTGAGGACCCTGCAGATGTAGACACCCCAGTGTCCAGATGCACTGGCCTTGGAAGTCTAAAGACAAAAGTCCCGAGAGAATAGCCGCCCCTCCTGTTCTCCTGCAGAGGAGGAAACATGCTGATACTCAGCTGCAAATTCAAGTTTGGAAGCTGAAATCATTTCTGCATCAGGAGTTTTTGCTTGGAAAGCACTTTCTAGAGATTTCCATTTCCACCCTTCATAATCCCATTTTAGATTTTTCCCCCCTGTTTATATGAACTCACCACTTATATTTCCTTTTCAAAAAATTTCTCTGGGTCCTAGATTCTGTGGGGTTTTAGAATATGGACATGGATAGCACAAATCACATCGTTAAATCTTGGTGTTGAGCTGGGCCTCAGGAGGCTGTCTGAAGCAGGAGGAGGAGGATGGCTTGAACCCAGGAGTTCAAGGCCAGCCTGGGCAACACAGCATGGCCCCATCTCAAAAAACAAAAACAAAACCCAACAACTTGGTGCTTATGTTATACCATGTGGCAGCCCACAGCCCACACAGGGGGCAAATGCATGAATCCCCTCTGAGAAGGGCTTGTCCAGGCTTTGCTCAATCCCCTCTAGGGCTGGAAACTTACTACCTCACAAGTGAGCCATTTCATCTCCAGGTAACTTAYGTTCATCTTTATATTGAATTGGTCCGTCTTTGTACCGCTCTTGTTCAGAAAGGAGTTTATAGTCATTGCAAGAAAGACAAATAAAGGTAGCTATTATGTCAGCTAAAAAATGCATAGAGGTATATATTCAAGGGCCTGTGCTAGGTGATTTACGTGTGGACTCCACCCTTCCCGGTATTCTAAGAGACACTGCTCAGAGGAGGGACTGGCTCACATGGCCCTGCCTGCCCAGCCCCTACTGAGTCAGACTGGGGCTGGAAGGAATCATCGCCTGGAGCTGTCTAATCTGCGGGGTCTTTAATGGGAAGTAGGAGATGGAAGAGGAGACGGGGACACTTCTGCAGGCAATGGGTAAACATTGGGGACAGCATTGAGTCTTTCAGGGTCCATCAGCCTACACAGCAGGCACCCTTCTGTGTCTGCCTTCCTGGGCACAGGTGTACCTGGCTGGTAATGACCCTAAGGGGCTGGACAGAGGGGTGGCAGTGTGGCCAGGCTGAGCTTAGGGGAGGTCTGGGCTGGGGCAGGAAGGCAGAGCACTGTCTCTTGTTGATGTTTCCCAAGCCTGGGAAGGAGGGCGGCTGAGGATGAATGGAGCCTTCTCTGTCTCCTCAGGTGAATGGCAGCGGTGAGCATCCAGGCTGCTCCCGGCCGCCTTTGAACGGGGCCTTTGTCTCGGGGAAACTGATCTCTCTGTGGCACCTGGTTCTGTTAGTTGGGGCAGGAGCCAACTTCCTGCTGGGGCAGCTCTGAGCCCCAGGGGACCTCRGCACCACACCTCTGCCCCTCCTGCGTGGGTGGGTCCTCTCTGGGGGCTGCTCCCGGCCACCACTCCTTCCCCTCTCCCCGACCCCCCCTCCGGCCATGTTAGAAGGGATCACACCACCCTGGCTGTCCACTGGAGGAGCTCCATCTTCTGGGAGACAGAGGGGGTGTGGTGGGGGTGGCGCTAGGCCTCCTCAGGGGACAAGGGCAGTGAAATAAATGTCAGCCATTGTGTTGCCTTCCCTGCCCCCCACCCCCATACTGGAACTGCCCCCTCCTGGATGCCTCCAGAGGGCTGCAGTGCTGTGCCAGCCCTGCCTGTGGGCCAGTCAGAAGAGCCACCAACGCAAGCCACGCCCCACCCTGCCAGCACGTCTTGTCTTCCTGGGTCCCCAGGGAAAGAGGAATGTAGCAACAGGAGGCCATCCCTGTTTGCACACATGGGAGCCACACCCCACTCTGCACAGCCCCAGGAGGTGACTTCAGACTCAGAGCCTCTTAACCCTTTCCACTTCCCACCAGGTGTGGCAAGGCACTCTGTAATCACAGTGACTCAGAGGCTGGAGTAGGAAGATGGCAATTCAGGGCCAATGGCAGCAAGTTAGTGAAACCCTGCCTTCAAAATAAAGAGTTAAAAGGGGCTGGGGATGTGGCTCAGTAGTAAAGCACCCCTGAATTTGATCCCCAAATTTCTTGTGTTAGAAACTTAATCCTCAAGTTCATGTCATTGGTAATTGGAGAGCGGCCTTTGGGAGGTCATTAGCCTTAGATGAATTCATGAGGGTGAGCCCCTGTGATGGCGTTAGTGGCTTTATGAGAAGAGGAAAGCAGACCCGAGCTAACACACATGGTCTGTCTTACCATGTGATGCCCTCCACCATGTAAAATGCAAGAAGAAGGCCCACACCAGATGCTAGCACCATGCTCTTGAACTTCACAGCCTCCAGAATTGTGAGCCAAATAAATCTCTTTTCTTTATAAATTATCCAGTCTCAGGTGTTTTGTTATAGCAACAGATATCTCCATGTCTTGGTCTTAATAACACAGCCAGTGCTACCTGTGTATAAGTGTGTAGCACTTGGCATATGCCATCCTGTCATGGATAAGGTGAGTCAAGGTGAGTATGTCTTGGGCTGTCCACCATGGCAATCTGAGTGTCCATCCTGACTCCAGCTCCTCACCTTTCACACTTACCATGCAGCCTGGCAGTCTGCCTCCAAGCTAAGCTGGTTTGGGTTTAAGTTCCTCTACCACTTTAAATCTCCTAGATTTATACTGTTTGCTCCCACAGAATAGATCTTTATGTCCACATGGCTGAGGGGTGGGGAGAGATTGTGGTTTAGAGTGAGAGCCCTGGAGACTGACCAGCAGGATAGAAACCTGGATCTGCCACTTGGCAGCTGTGTGACTGGGGCAGATGATGTAACCACTGGAAAAAAAAAAAAAAGGAGGCTGGGGCTGTAGCTCAGCAGCAGGGCTCTTGCCTGGCATGCGAGAGGCCCTGGGTTCGATTCTCACACCACATGAAAGAAGACAAAGGCCTGCTGTCCATCTGCAACTGCAGAAAAATAAAAATTAAAAAGGGAGAAACTAAGAGCATCTGCACTTAAGGCTGTTGTGAGGAATAAGGAGGAACAGGGAGGCAAGCTCAGCCAGCGACCTAGCCAGTGGGCGGTCAGGACACGTGGTCGTCATGAAGTCATCATTGTGGGTGTCCCTGCACCCCCACCCTCCTGCTCAAAG